ACCCCTTGATAGCATCCTCTTCCAAGACATGACTATTAGAAAACACACTGAGCGGTGATATTCTCCACCATTTTGTCGATGGTTTCTATTTTAGAAAATTTTGCACCTTAACCGTAACGATTCAAGTTGAATACGTCAAGCATGCTTTCAAATGGTTCAAATGGTTGTGGACGGAATAGAAGAAGCTTTCGCCTAACAAGCTTCCGTGTCAAGTAGCAGGGGATCACGAACAACTCCAGGCAAGAACCTAGGTATGTTAACGATAAAAGAGGAAAAAGAAATTGGTAAATTATGGTATGATACTATCCTTAGACCTTAAGAATAGATCAAGTTGCCTCTTAAGGGGCTCCTTAGAAGTCTCTTGGACTAGTTCGGCCGGCAGCGAATTCCAGCATTTGACAACTCTTAAAGAGAAGTTGTGCCTACAGTCCGTTCTGCTATGTTGTATCTCCAATTTCTGGGTGTTACCGCTTAGGTTTGTATTGGGACTAAGCTTAAGTAAGTGTTTAAGAGGATGTCCAGAAGTGTTAAGTATACTGTAAGCCATCAGAAGGTCACTTCTAAGACGCCTATACTCTAATGGATGAAGGTTAAGTGAATGGAGGCGCTCTTCGTAAGGTTTAAATTTGAGTCCTCGAACTGATTTCGTCGCTCGCCGTTGGATACGCTCCGGAGTGTCCTAGTCCTTTCGGAGTGAGGGAGGAAATACTATGCTTCCGTACTCTAAATGGAGACGGATGAAACTGTCGAAGATTATATGGAAAGTTCTTCCATTAAAACTGGCAAAAATGCGCTTCAATGTTACCAGTACAAGGTTTGCTCGGAAGGCATTTTGTCAAAATTAGCGTAAGACTTTAAATCGTCGGGCACCAGGACTCCAAAATCATTTTCGACTCAGGATACTACTAGAGAGGAGTTTCCCAATTTGTAACTATAGTCTACGACATGTCTCGGATGGATTACTTTACACTTTGAAGTGTTAAAGGTAAGTCCGCTATCGTCTACGCAACTTTGAAGTTGAGTCAGATCCTCCTGAAGCACCTGTATATCGTCTTGGTTGCGTATCCCTCTCCAAAGTTTCACATCACCGGTAAAAATTAATAAGTCTGGCGTTACCTGCTGAGGACATCATTTGTATAAATCAGGAAGAGAAGAGGTCCTAGTACTGAGCCTTGGGGGACCCCACTATGACATTCCACAGCCTGATATAAAGTGAAGTTAACCTTGACCTTAAAATACCGATTTTTCGGATACGAAGTGAGCCAATCATATAGAGGTGGTCTGATACCCAATCGTTTGGGCTTATTGATAAGACATATACGGTTAACCCTATCAAAAGCTTTTGAGAAATCAAGGTTAATGATATCAACGTTACCCTCGCGATCGAAGATGCTTGTTCATCTGTCCACCGCAGTCAGCAGGTTGGTTATACAAGAGTAATCCTTCTTGAAACCATGCTATTGGGGTGAATAGAAGTTTAAGATGATAAGTAACCGTGCATACCATCGCATATCAAGGGCTCCATAATTTTCGAAGATATAGAGAGAAGAGCCATCGGTCGGTAACTTGAAGGTTCGCTGCGTCGACCTCCTTTGAAAATTGGTTCGATGTGAGCCAGCATGCAATTTTACGGTAGTTTTCCTTGGCTTAGCGAGTGTGAGAACATAACGCTAAGCGGCGTTGCCAGGATTGAGGCTGTTTCCTTCAGTATAGCAGAATGGACCATATCCGGACCGGGCGAAATGTCTTTTCTTAGGTGCTGCAGTTTCCGGAACACCAAGTCAGCGCTCAGATTTACTGCGGAAAGTTCCGTGCAGTAGCAAATGAAGCTGTGATTAGTATAGTTGATGTGGGTCGCTTGAAATGTCCGAGAGTATTGTTCAGCCAAAAGGTTAGCGGCGTCGCCGTCGTTATTGGTCGGGCCGTCAGGACTTGGGACACTTCAGTTTTGGCTTGACGAAGAGAGGCTGCATAACGGAATAAGCCTATCAGATTAGAGACAACTTGATCCATAAGCTTTGTCTGGTACTGAAGCCTGTCTTCTCTTATAGCTTTCGTGCATATGTTCCTTATATGTTTGTATTGCCTGTACGCTCCATTGTTGTCAGTTTATTTGTATTCTGCCCAACAGTGTCTTTTGTGGTATAGCAGGCGAAGAGTATGGTTCTTGATGATTGCAGGTTGTTTTTAGCTTTTGAGGACCGTTTGAGGAACTGACTGCTTTGTAGCACATGAGAGCGTGTGCAGTAAGAAGTCCCAATGAGCATCCACATCGAGTTGAGGGTGAACAACCCGATCCACCTGTTATAGATAGTTCTGCAGAGCTGACAAGTTCAATCGTTTGAAATTCCAGTGCATGTTGTTGGTGGGATATCTTAGCTATAACGGCTATAACGGCTTGATCGCTTTTCCACAGGGGAGCCAAGATTGAGAGGTTGTCATTTATAAACTCCTCGTTTGTGAATACACAGTCTAAACGCGACGGTGTCTGACTGTTTCTCCAACGAGTTGCCGGCTTCACATTTTCGTATAATCCCAAATCCTAAATGAGGTTGAAGAACAGAGCTTCATTTAAGTTTTAACCTCCAATATACGTATGTTCCGCAAAATCGAATCCAGGTAAATTGAAGTCCCCTAGAATCAGGATATGAAAGAAACCGAGAAGAGTAGAGCGGTATAGTCCTTCCAGCATACGACTGTCATACTCGATGTCGGCAGTGGGCTTCCTATGTATGACTCTGACTAGGCACCTCGACGTAGTAGACAATCTTACGGAGCACCACATGGATCCCTCAAGATTGTTAAACTCGAGGTTATGAACTTGGTGTACTCTAACCAAGATCGTATGTATACGGCTACTCCACCCCCGATTCCAGTTTTTCTGTCATTGCGAAACAAAAACACTCCATGTATTGCTAGCTCCTGTTCCGAGAACTGAGAAGATATCCAAGATTCAGATATTCCTATCAGATGAACCTTATTAACATTGTTAAGTTCACGTAACTCATCCATTTTGTTTAGTAGACTCACGTCTGTTGGGACATAATGCTCCCAGAATTGAAGCCGCCACATGGGAGGATGGGAAAGTAATTATCATTAGCCGGAGTCTAGAAACACCGTTCTTCTTGGACAGCCTCAAGGACTGCTTGATGAACTTCCAATCCCCAATATCACAGTTTCCTTGAATAGGGTCCGTGTTTTCCAGTACACCTTGCACGATTATATTTCTTCCGCGGAAAAACTTCTTGTGAGATTCTTTAGGGGTGTTGCGGATGAGATAATAATAATATATATATTTCTGCATGCGCAGGATCACGCCATTTTTACAGGCATGATCTATAAATTACAACACTTGTTGGTCCACAAAATGCTTCGCAACTTATTAAGTATATCGGCCAGTATTCCTACGTTCCCATCGAAATTCAGTAAATGACTAGCTAGCAGGACATCCTCTACGTCGGTAGCATTCTTAAGTGTTGCACGAATTAGCCTCAGGTGACTTTGAGGCTTAGGTTCCTTTCACCGAGTGAGCCGTGTGACCGTCAAAGGCTTCATTCTAGGAAGTTCAAGCTTCTTGTTCAATTCATCCCAGTGCATCCTATCATTTTTGTTCTGCAAACTGAGAGAAAGGTCAGGTTTGTCTAAGTTTCATGGTTATGAGAGAGTCATCACGAACCGTCATTGTTTTCCAAGGTTTTCCAATGTGTTCGGGTTCAGCACCTTGTTTTTTGGAGGTCGAAGCACGTTTCTGAATCCTAGGCTCTTTGATGACTAGACGGACATTCTTGGGGGTAGACTGTGCGACCAAATCTCCAGTTGATTTCCATACAACACTTGGAATGTTCAGCTTAGACGGTGACGCCTGGTTCTTTTTAGCTCTGTCAACGTGGGTACGATCACCTACAGAGTTTTTGGAAACCACTTTTTCATTCAAGGACCCTGAGCTGGGAGACCCGAGTTTACTGAGGGAGTCTATTACAGTCGACGTAATGATGGTGCTGAGTTTCAACATGCCATCATTAGTGCTTATGCATGCTCCATCAGTTGTGGACCTGTCGACATATTTATTCTTGTTTTTGTTACGCGCCTTTGTTTGTCTACCCTTTTAATGACTGTCTTTTTCCAAGTTTGCCGCCAACTTCGCAGACCTGTCAATAGGATAATGATGTTACTCAACAGGAATACAGCATCCGTGCTGCACATAACACGTTCCCACTTATGATCCGACTTGCTGAGTCTGTTGTAAGCAGTTGCTGTGAGATCTGTGCACGCTTCGTGGAACCAACCTTTGCAGTTTTCGCGCTGCATGCCAGATGTAACAACAAAACGGCATCCAGGTCGTTTGGATGAATTTTTCATGACTATATTGACGCAAACTGTGTTGTAGATGCTAGCAAAGGCCTAAGACCGTAAAAATACACTAAAAAGCATACTAAAAGCGAGCAAAAGTGGATAAAAACAGATGAGATAAACTGAACTAGCCTTTAAGTGAAAAACTGAAAAAAAACCCGAATAGTAAGCTGAGGCAAAACCACAGTTAACTATTAAATTGAGTGAAACTCGAAATAAAGTAATCTACCAAAAGTATAGCTCAGAATAGATTCTTTCGATCAGAAATGGTACTTTTGTTGCGTAAGAACACAGCAAAAGTTTGATAGATGCAAATCACGTTAGGACTAAACTTCCCGTTCGAAAAGCGCTTTTGATGTAACGAATACACAAAAGCAAAGTTAAATCACAACAAGTACTAGATGATTGCCCATTGTGAAACATTTTTAATAAGGAAAACGATCAACAACAGTTAACAAATCACAAGCGTGAAATACAGACAGTCTAATAATCGAAATGAGAAGTTAGTAGGGTACGGCTCAGTGCCAAAGTTGGAGCTTAACAGGATCAGGTACTGAAAATTACCAAACGCCTGGAACATTACTGAAACAACAAAAAGCGAACGCAAAGAAACCAGTCGGTTCATAAAAGCACGTCATAAAGATATTGGATCTTGTTCGAGTGGGCGTTATGAAAGTTGTGTTGTACCTGGCTAGGCGTGTAGTCATGTGATAGTACTGGCGGATGAAACATAACAGCATCTCCAGGATAGAAGCTTCAGAGTAATATGATTTGCAAGCTAAATACTAAGTATTGTTCTTAGTTTAGGCGTCACAGCCTCGAAGAGACGATTCCTTCCAAACATATCCAAGGCCTTAAATAAATCTCGTCAAAATGACACGTAAGTGCTGTCATTGTTGTCATGGTTGCTTCCTCTCTGCTGCAATTTGGAAAATTTGCTGAGTAGTTTACACTTCGTCGTCATATGCCCATGTATTTGTTTCGTGAGTATGCTTTGTGTAAAAGATGCAGTTTAGCTTGCTGTAAAAAATCGACAAAGCATTGATCTCTGCTTTCAAATATAGCGTAAATGGTTTCACACTTCTTTTGCCATGACACTAGTGACTTTTTGAACCAAGGTTGTCTATTCATTTATGCTGCTTAGGGTAATCAGGTTGACTAAAATATATATTGAATGATGTCAACATAATAACATTAGCGGATTATAACATTTTGAATTATGTTTTGGTGAAGGTCCAGGGGAATAAAGAGTCTTGGTTTACCAACTGGCAGATTTATTCATAGATAGTATGGACTTTCCACTTTTTTAATATTACTACGTTTAGTATTCCGATGTGGCTATAATTTATGGGCGAACAAATTAGATCTAAGTTTGTGAGTTTTGGATTTCGGCGCTTCATTCATTCATACGGTCATATTACATTTTAGCGCTATATCTGACACAAGTATGTGACGAATACAGTAAGTCTAATTTCCAGCGCTAACTGGTCTCAATTTCTGACTCCAATTGATAATCCCATTTTGACCGTATTAAGTGGTTAGGGTTTGTCAAGGATATCTTGTATCACTCAAATGTTCATAGACCATACTCCCGCCAATTTGCGAAATAAACGCAGTACATCTTAAATTCCAGTACTTATATATGCCTTCCTATTCCCATTTTGGACTCTATGCTCAGTGTTTAATCGCTTTTGTCATTGCTACAACATGAGATTTATTTTATAATGCATCTTCTTTCTCTCAAACTGGTGTCATCAGGATGAGTGGAAAATAGTAATTGCTGTTGGATTTATAGCCTTACTGATGGCAATAGTAGATCTTGCTAAAATATAGTCCTTAAAGATGCACTATACTAAACAAAATGATAAGGCTGTTGATAAATATAAATGAGGCCGGTCATAAAATCAGTAAACAGATAAACAAGAGCAGTGTTTAATGAGTAATATGGTCCAATTAAACAGAAATGGGGACATTAAAGCTTTCGTTTACTTGGTTAGATCCACATTTTAATCAAAATTATGGTAGGCTTACCACCAACTTGTGTGATCTTAGTTCAGCGATTAAGAAAACTTTCAAGCCTTTGTTTGTGACTCGGCACGATTCTTTGTGTTGTTTGTCGTAAAATTCCAAGTACAGATCTTGCTTCATTTTTGACTTGCCCTGGTCTTCTTTTTTCCTATACCACTTTTGTTTTTGTCTCCTTTTAGTACTAATAGATGTCCAAGGCAAGATGTCCCCAAAACTCGTCCAGAACCAAGGTCAACTAGGTCCTATCAAAACGATACTCAGCGTTCGGGATGCCAAAGTACAAGACCACAATTTGTTCACAGTTATTCAATCTTTGAAACTGGAATAGGCTGTATCACTAAACCAGATAGGAATACTGTTGAGCTATGTAAGTAACCAGAGTTAGAGTTCTTTTTCAAACTGAAACGAGTTGATCACTTATCCCTCAATTATTCATCGAGCAAAGTACTAAGACTTCAATACTTAGAGGTATCTAAAATTTGTTTATTCCTTCCAAACCTTAACTCGTTTTGAAGTCAGTCGTAATTTTTTTGTAGCATTGGCTTATCTGAGTTGGGTAGTTTAGTTGCAAAGTATTCATAATCCTCCTGTATATCACCCGAGTCACTCCAACCAGTTGTTGCGGTTATCGAACTGGTTCTAATCAGGTACCTTCCTGCTCGGTTAAATCCAGCAAACACTGACTTGATGAACTAATCCGATGTTTTCATTCGCGTTCTCGTAGCCTTCTGATTTACTCTTATGCTAGCAACTGTTTGACCTCTGGACAAGCGGTTGTATATCGATGGTGGTCGATAGTGGTTTCTGAATTTTGACTGAAAACATTTACTCATTGCGTTATTTCCAAGTGTTTGGCTGTATCAAATCATAGATTCGGTTAAAATAATGAATACTTCAGATTTTAACTCAACTAAGTGTTAATTGTTGTCGTTATATATATATAGTTCCGATATCAGAATTGTCATTATTAATACATGGCTCATCACTTTTTGACCTAGTTAAATTCCTTTCAACAATCACTACTCTGCAACACTTCATATATTTTTTTCGGGTAGCTGTTGAATTACCATGATCACAGAGTAGCTTAATCACTTCATGAGGCGTGTCATTCATTAATAGGGTCAATATGCTTAAACAACTGATAAGACTGAAGGCTAAAAGCATCCATCTTATCGATTTTCCACCACCAGCTCATATCTGGGTACAGCGATACAAGTTCGAATAACAGTATGGTTTTTGGATGACCCCATCAGATCCTAGACTAATTTGAAGCAATTGTTGTACAAAATCATTCTGTGTTAAAAGCTGTAACGTTTTCGGGTCAAGTTTAAGGAATTTCTGTGTCAAAATTTGTGGTATCTGGTTTTCATTAGTAATTAAATTCTTTCAATCAGGTAGATGTGTGGGTGTAGTGAACGGAACACGAGTGGGGACAATCGAATGTATTTAACACAAAATTACAGGACTTGTTAATAAAATCTAAGAATCATAAAGTAAATGCTTAATTTGCAAAGTGTCTACTAGTTGTCTCAAAATGACTCAGACTTCATTGTCCTTGCATTTTCATACAAATCAAATCCTGTTTCCATTCTTTACTGTTCGATCCTCTTGTCTATCTGCTCCCTGACCTGTCCACGACTAACACCATTTACTACTTATGCCAATATAAGTAGCACACACCACACAGGTAATAGGCCACGTAATGCTTGAAATGATCGGGAAAGTTTTTACTAGGCGTGTTTAGTGCCGTATTCACTTAAATTGCTCGTTTAAACAAGGTTTTTTTAATACGTCATTACGCATAAAATGTTTTTGAAAGAGAAGACATTTGTCTGTCCGTATTTTTGTGGCACATAACACTTCTAGTAAGTTATACTCATTACTTTCATGAAATTTCCGTTGTATACTTTTTTCTGTAAGGTTTCTTGCATCTTGTTACAGGTGAAACAAAAGAAGCTGTTTTGCCACAGACTGAGGCCATGGAGTTTGCTGAAACAGAATCCAACTTAAATCCTCTCAATCAATGTGAAGCATTTGTAACAGATATTAAACAATTATTTAAAAATCCTCCAATTATAATGCATGATTCTGCTGCTGGTCAAGAGTTTGATTTAGGTAAAATTAATTTCATGTACGCCATTTCTTGTGCTTGTAGTGGAATCCTAGTCAATCAGTAATTTTTGTAGACGTTCTACAGTTTCACCTGCGTACAGTAATTAAAATAGCTTTAAAACAAAATCATTTTCTGTTGTATTGAATGAAGATTATACGATAATCATTTTTGAGGTAGGAAATACGTTTTACTGAGGGAACAATTAAGAAACCAAAGTACAATAACTACTGAGTTTCTAAATCGTAACCCGGAGATGAGTTTGTATTATGTGATGACTTATTTTCTTCTATGAACATTATTATAAAGTTCGACAGGTTAGCCAATTCTAATTAAGGGAACAAGAAGCGTCCACAATGAAATGTGTGTAAATTGAGAAGATTTATTCATTTAGATGGTGATGGTCCAACCTTATGTCAATATTACTGATCACTTATTGGAACAAAATAAAGCAATGCATAACAACTTTCTGTTTATGGTGACAAATATAGTAAAATGATCTCAGCAAAGTATTCGAAGGTTCTCTTCGGAAAACTGGTCCAACTTCTAGGCTTATTTTCATAAGTACGAGGAACTTTTCGAACAGTTCTAGTAATGAAAATAAAATGGAGTTCCAGTAATGATAAGTTGAAAAGCTGTCATTTAACCCTTCAACATGTTTTTAATCACTCCGAGCTAGAGCGTTTCCGCTTTTTTATGTAAATATTCATTAGATGTTTATACTAGGAAGTCTTAGTTATCTCGCTCTGAAAACGATTAATGACAATTCAAATGGTATATTTCATACTGTCCTGTTAATTTAATTCAGTCGTAATTCATCTAACATTTTATTATATAGAGGTAGAGGTGATCATAAAATATTGAAAGATTTCATTTTTAGTTCATTTTGATAATCAGGAATTTCTGTTTCGTTCTGTGATGTCTACATCTTGATTTGAAATAAATTAAACAGATATTTTCCTATGATAACTAGTCTTCTTCATAAATACAACATCGAAATGCATTTTATAACTTTCTGTTAATGCTTATGTAACTACAAATCATAACAGTACTACCATAATAGTTTATTATGTAGATGTATTCTCGGATATGCACTTTTCCTATTGATTGGGATAAGAAGAGCTATTCAGTTTGATTTTCGTCAAATACTTGTTTTGAATGAATATGTAGATGAATGCTTAATTTTAATTATTCATTGATAACTTTTAAATTCTGAACGCACATAAATAACATATTAAGAAAGAGTAGAATCACTAAATATTTTAGACTATAGTAATACTGAATTAAAACAACACATAAAAGCGGACAATATCGTTTTCAGTTAGAACTTCATCAAACTTCGCTCTAATATACATAAATATTTATAGAAAATATGCAACCAATCAAGGCACACTTCTCGTTTTAATAGTGTTCTGGTTATTTTAAAGACTATTTATCGACGTTTAACCTACTTTTTGTGTTGAACGATTCACTAGAACTTTCTTGTTCTTGTTACTACTAGTACACCTGTCTTCTTAATATCAATTTGTACTTTTTACGTATTCCGTGTATTTATGCAATATATTTCATTGTGATCATTGACTCACAAATTGTCTTGATTGGTTTGATATTTTCATGTAAATATCCACGTATATTAGAGGAAATTCTGACGACAATTAATTGAAAATCATATTGCTCGCTTTTATGTGCCTTTGTAATCTTCACAATGAAAATCTTTAATACTGAATCGAAAAGTACCAAGGTATCAACTTAGTTGAATTCCTTAATGTAGCGAAAATCTTGTCAGTACTTAAAAACCTATTAGTCATACACAGACTAGTAGTTTGTATAATTCCATTTTTAATTACCTTTCACCGTCCATTCAGCTACGAGGTTATTTAATAGTTAACCAAGTTTAAATTTAGCTATAAGTAAGTTGTATTTTGTAGGATAGCGTTGTTCATCATGTTGGATACTTCAATATTACTTTCCTAATTAATGTACCTTCGCTGGTTGGCAGTGAGACAGAAAGCTTGTGCATATAATTCGCGGGGACAGTATATGAACCTAGTCACGACTGAACTCCGCCTGTAGCTCTTCTAGAATTCCTCTAAAGGAGTAGAGTTAACATGGGGTTGGCAACCCCATTCCGAAGAAAATAACCTTGCTGAAAAAAACTAACCAGAATAAGCAAATTAAACCATTTAAACTCTGCTCTGGGAGTTGAGGGAAGAATTATAACGCCTCATGATGCAAGCGGAGGTTCTTCGGAAGTCACGAGGCCGATACCCCTTCTAACAACTAGAGCAACAATTTTTATTGGTACATGGAACGTCCGGACAATGTAAGAGATCGGGAGGACCAGTCAAATGGCAACGGAAATGAGGAGATACAACTTGTCGGTCCTTGGAATTAGCGAAACTCATTGAACCCAAGCTGGATAGCAAAGGTTAGATTCGGGAGAGATGCTGCTATACTGTAGTCACGAAGAAGTAAATGCTTCACACACTCAGGCAGTTACTCTGATGCTGTCCAAAGAAGCACGCGATGCACTTACAGGATGAGAATCTGATGGACCCAGGATCGTCAAAGCATCTTTCAAAACGAAGGAGGGGATCAATTATTGTTGTCCAATGTTAGAACCCGCCAATGATAGCAACGACGACGATAAAAATCAGTTTTGTGAGAGGCTGCAATCGATCATAGTGAAGTGCTCAGGAAACGAATTAACCATTCTGATAGGAAGCCTAAAGGCCAAAGTTGGAATGAACAATGCAGGCTGTGAAGATATCATAAAATGTCATGAACTGACTAGGAGAAAGGAACGAGAATAGTGACAGATTTGCAAATTTTTGTTAATTCAACAAAATTGTTATAGGCGTCACAATATTCTCACAAATACATACATAAAGCTAAATTAGTCTCACCAGATCACACTACACAACCAGATCTATCATATTTGTATCATGAAAAATCTCAGAAGATCAATAGAAAAATCAGGAGAGGAGCTGACAGCTCCAGATCACCACCTGATGGTTGTCAAGATGAAACTGAAGCTAAAGAAACACTGGAACACTGAAGAAACAGCCTTACAAGGACTTAATACATAATTCATTCGAGATACTGACAAACTCAACGAATTCAAGATAGTTCTGAACAACAGGTTTCAAAACTTACAAGATCTACTCAGAGAAGAGGAAACTACTACAGAGGAAAATTGGAAACGGATTGAATAAGCACCAAATTCAACGTGCCAGGAGGTTCTTGGCTAGATCTCCATCGAAACTCCGGACAAGATTCAAGAAAGGAAGAACAAGAACAGAGAAAGTCAAGGCAAAAGCTGAATACACAGAAGCACACAAGCAAGTGAAGAAGAGCATTGGAGCTGACAAGCAGAAATATGTGGAAGACCTAGCAACGACGGCGAAAAAAGCTGCAAGGGAAGGAAATATGAAACAGCTTTACGATACAACGAAGAAACTAGCAGGGAAATACAGTAAACCAGAGAGACCGGTCAAGGACAAAGAAGGCAGGCTAATCACTGAAATTCAACAACAGCGGAACAGATGGGTAAAGCACCTCAAGGAACTCCTGAATGGGCCAGCTCCAATGAATCCACAGGACATCGAAGCAGCGCACACAAATCTTCCTATAGATGCCAATCCACCAACGACGGAAGAAATCAGAATGGCCATCAGACAAATCAAGAGCGGGAAAGCAACAGGACCCGACAATATACCAGCTGAAGCACTGAAATCAGACATCGAAGTAACTACAAACATGCCCCACGTTCTATTTAGGAAGATTTGGGAGGAGGAACAAGTGCCGATGGACTGAACTTTGAAATGCGTTAAGTAATCAGTTGAAAAAAGCTGATCGTCATACATCAACTTCCTTTACTATGATAAAGCATTTGACAGAGTGAGTAGGAGGATCTCATGGAACCTTCTCTGACATCATGGTGTACCTTGGAAGATCATCAGGATTATACAGGATTCATAAGACAGTCTACACAGCAACGTCGTACATAGAGGACAGCTGACAGATTCATTCCAAGTGAGGACCGGAGTAAGACAAGGCTGCTTACTATCTCCCTTTCTCTTCTGGTGGTTGATTGGATTATGAAGACCACATCTGAAGGGAAGCACGGAATACAATGGACAGCTTGCATGCAACTAGACGATTTGGACTTCGCAGATGACCCAACTCTTCTATCCTATATATACCAACAAATATTGGTGAAGACAGACAGTGTAGCAGCAGTAGACCTCGACACACACAAGGGAAAAAGCAAGATTCTCAAACACAACACTGAGAACACCGACACAATCACAGATGATGGAGAAGCTCTGTAAGAGATGAAAACTTCCACGTGCCTAGACAGCTTCATCCATGAACAAGGATGATCGGATGCAGATGTAAAAGCAAGGATTAGCAAAACAAGGACCGCATTCCTACAATTGAATAACATATGAAACGCAAAATGACTGTTATCCAATATCAAAGTCAGAATCTTCAATACGAACGTCAAGACAGTTCTACTGTATGTAGCTAAAACTTGGAGAACTACTACATCATCAAGCAAGTGCAAGTAATTATAAACAATTGTCTGTTGACCTGATACCATCAGCAACAGCCTACTGTGAGAGGGAACAAACCAGCCTCTAGGAAAAGACGTTCGAGGTGGACAGGAACACATTACAGAAATCAAACTGCATCACGAAGCAAGCGCTAACTTAAAATCCTGAAGGGAAAAGGAAAAGTAGCAGAATAAATAACACATTGTGCAGGGAATTGAAAGCAGACACTAAAAGGATGAATAGCAACTGGAAAGGGTTGTCCAGGAAGGAGTTGGATGGAGAACGCTGGTGGGCGGCCTATACTCCTCCACGAGGGTTGGTAGGCTTAAGTAAGTAATTACGGCTGAAGAGATGATGGACGATACTCATTGATTCAGAGATCTCTTGTTGTCATAATTGTTAAATTCGATCTAAGATATTTTTTTCGTCTAATTTAGCCATTATAAACGGACAAGTATTCAAACCGGTTTAAACATGAGAAATTAACTAGATTCTATATAAATAAATTGAAAACGTTGAAAATTTTAAAAATCAGTTGGTAAAATAAGTAAAAACGAACCAGTAGTACGTCGATACTGTTAGCCATAATAATAGATGAACAGTTTAATAGCGAAAAGTTCAAATGTTTAACGTTCCATATATGATATTTATTCATCAAAGTTTATTTGGTACTTTTAATATTTAGTCATTTTTTCCCCATTAAAATATACTTTCGCTACTTACATTTAGATCCTTTTAGAGATTTGGATTTATCTGATGGATGGAGTTCTAAATTTCCGTTTGATTTATTCTCCGATGGTACTACTTCAGGCAGACTATTTACCTTACAACTACCAGATAAATTGTTACCACCGGTAAGTAAATGTTTATTATTGAAAATTATATTTGTTATACACGAGTTAAATACTATAATACAGAATTACATCATTTACTATTTTATAAGAAGTTATTGACATGTTTAGACCTAAATATGTTATTATTATCGTATGATATAGAAGTTTGATTTTTCATTTGATATATATTTCGTTGTAGTTATTAAATTTGGAAAGACTTGGTTTCAAGTTAGAATACATCATTGGTTTCAGTTGTAAATATTCATTGAATATCTCGTCCATCGTGTTTAATGTCATAATATTTAAGTCGTAAAATATGAACTTTGACTGGCTCAATAATTATATATATATATATATATATATCGTCTCTCCGATCAGTTATGTTTAAATACCATATTCATCTGTTGGTGATGTGAATTTAAAATTGTACTCCAGTTCAGTAGATTAAACTTCATTTAAGAGTCAATAGATATGGTAGGAGTGGCGGAGCAGTCCAAAGCGCCAGACTCAAGAGTGTTTTTCTGAGTCTTCTAGTACACGACGCGAGCGTTGGCTCGAATTTCACCTTCGACACATACTTTGCCACCAAATGTCCTGATACGGTCGAGGGTGGGGGAAGTCCACTATCCTCGAAATACTCACACATTGCCACTGCCAAGGAAGTCTTATTCACTGCCTTCTCGCGGCGGGGGTGTTGTCTACGAAATTGAGAGCGCGCAAGGAGAATGTCAGGCGCTTCAACCGGGTCGGTGAACACAGAGGGTTCATTTAGGGGAGTTAGAAAACCCTGACTGCAAACTAGTAGTGCACATGGGCTCCAGGATCCTGAAGGAATAAATGGTGCATGAACCAATTGTTGGTCATCGGCTACCATGGGACTGCATCTCCTAACGTTGCTCCACTTCCTTGTGCGTCGGAACTTAAAGTCGAAGGCTCCAAGTGTGGCACCCAAGAAGACCACCTGCTTCGGTCTGGGCATTCAGGTATTATCACAGCCCATACACAAATCAAACGGCCTGTGTAGCGCATATGTATTCGGTGCTACTTTGAATCAATATTTATGTATTCAAATAAATAAATATGGTAGATTCCTAGTGAATTTGTTCATAAAAAGCTAACCAATCTATAAAAATCTTCAAAACAATTATTATTTACTATCAACGAAATGTATGTCCAATAATTTAATTTCGTTGTGTTAATATAGTCAGCCAGTTTGAGATGATACATACCTGATTACACTATTATGTATTATAAAATTTGTTGATTCATTTCTTTAATTGTCGTTGCTGACTACATTTCATTGAATTTCAGGATAATGAGGAAATAAAAGAAGGTTTATTCGGGAAAATACAATTATTAGATAATCAAGAAGTTCGTCTAGTTGTCGGTGATGCTCGATTCAATTTATCCTGTCCACGTCCATTGCCTATAGCTTCTGTAAGCTTTGTTCAGCATTCTATTTTTCTATATGATTAAAAATATTATCGTTAATTAGTTCATTATTAAGCAGGATTATTTATTTATTTCATGAAGTTACAAAATAGAGTTTTGTTTATTGTATTAACTTAATGGTATAAACGTTACATTTTTTTACCACAGTAAGTGACCAATAGATCACACTTTTCAACCTCTCATAAATAAATAAATGTGCCGAAAATATGCTGAAAAGAAACAATCTATTCTGTATGTACGAATAATGTAATTTGACTAATCCCTTAGTTGATTATTGGATGCCAAATACATCTAGAATTAAACTTACCTATTTCTTCAGTAAATTAGTAAACATTTTCATATGTAGTAGAATAAGAAATAATATATTTTTAAAAACAATGGATAGAAGTGTGTAACATGTTTTCACTATGCAACCTCTTATCAGTATTATTAATGTATTATATCACTTTGTCTATAAAATGAAGTGTAACAAAATACATGATTGAAGGCTATTTCGTAGATAATCAAATATAATTAAGCAATTTTCATTTGCAATTAAATGTTATATTAATGTGAACCTGTAGTGACTTATTTTTATCACGAGAATACGATTGATTTAATGAAAGCAATTATTATTATAACCAATTGTACCAGTGACTGTTTAATGTGCTCTTTGTTTAACCGTGCTAATGACAGCTATATTGTGCTTCCATTATTGTTCTTACACTTTGATTGTGACCTCGCACGAATTCGGCTACGTTCTGTAACCAAGCTTGTATCCTGGCACGATCTCGTTATCCTTTCGATACCACGAGATCGCCAGAGTTCTTCCAAGGGCAGTTCAACTGGCCTGCTGCTCCGGCAACATCGACCAGACTTTCCTACCCTCCATAGCTGGTGACGACTGATTCACCAAATGAGGCGGAATAACACAAGGAACTTCAACTCTTGGAGCGACACAAATCACCAAGCCCAGATGACTTGCCTCTGTCTCTTTTTAAAGGTGGCGGCGATTTTCTGGTTAAGGAACTGTCTGAGTTGTTCACAAAGGTTTGGGAGCTAGACAGTGTTCCAACATCATGGAATGAGTCGTTAGTTGTCCCTATATCTAACATGGGTTCATGTCGTTTCTGTAACATCTATCGGTGGATGAGTGTACTTCCGATTGCGTCCAAACTATTGGCTTCCGTCATACTTCGCAGATTGTTCAAAACCCGAGGAAATTCATTCACGAGGAGCAGGCTGGTTTTCGTTTTGGTCGAGGATGTATTGATTATTATCATATCACCCTCCAACAAATGTTAGAACACCGTCATACTTATCACAGGCCAACAATCGTAGTGCTGATTGACATCAGGGCTGCCCTCGATTCGTTGGACAGGACTGTTCTCTGGGGTTGTCTATTGAAGAAGGGTGTGCCTGAGAAGTTTATTAACATCCTAAAAGCCCTATATACAGACACCTCAGGCAGAATGAGGGCATACAACCACCTCTCTCCATTGTTCCATTCAAGCGATGGGGTTAGACAGGATTGCCCAATCTCACTATTCCTCCTCAACTTTGCTATCGATGACGTTCAGGAAATGGTTCTGATGGATGTAGGTGATGGTGGTGTAGATCTGTTACCTGTAGAGACTTCTCGACTTTGAGTATGCGGATGATATTGTCTTACTGTGAGATAATGCCCAAGCCATTCAATCCTCAGCCAGTTGGCAAATTAGTGTCCGTAGGTACGGTGTGGGCTTTGCACTTTCGAAGTGCAAACTACTTCTACAAGACTGGCAGGATTCTAATCCTGTACTCACCCTGGGTGGTGAGCAGATAGAAGTAGTCAAGTAGTTTGTGCATCTAGGTAGCTGCATAAATGCCGGTGGTGGCATGAGTGATGAGATCGATTCATGTATAGTGAAAGCCAGGGCGGCTTATGCCAATCTGGACCATCTTTGGCGCCTTCGTGATGTTAGTCTGGCTGTAACAGATCGGATCTACAACGCGTCAGTGAGAGCAGTTCTGCTCTATGATTGTGAAACCTGACCTCTCCGAGTTCAGGATAGTAGGCGACTCTTTGTGTCCGACCATCGTTGTCGCCGAAGGATTGTTGACATCCAGCGGCAACACCATGTTGGCAATGCAGAGGTTTGTCATTGTCTGTTCGGATGCAGAGACGATAATCCATTTGGTGTCACCATTTTGGAGCATCGACTTCGGTTGCTTGGACATGTCCTACGAATGTCGTCCGAGAGATAAAAGCTAGTGGCTATCCTGTTGTAACTTTGCTTTCTACATAGAAGTGCTAGTAATTTCTCTAATCGAAAGAATTTTTCCTGGTTTTATTTTGCTAACTGGACTGCCTCGCATTATTATTATTTCTTTCTCATACACTAATTTTTGTTCGTTGTTGTCCTTCTTTTTCTTATAGGGACTTTACATTCTCCATCTATTCACATTCTCATTGTGTGGTGCATATGTATTCGGTGTCCCTTTGTATCAATGTTATATGTTCAACTAAATATATAAATCAGTCGAAATAACTGTACATCCGTTTAATTACATATATTTACCCCTTAGTAACTTAAGACATGTTTTCCCACCGGTAGTTTGTTTCATTCCTTAGAAAAGAAATTCATAGCTCGGTCAGTCGCCGTGAGCTTATCGTTTTGCCGATATCTGAATGGCTCACTGTCACTAATTCTGTTTATTTTATTGTCATGTAGGCTTTATTCCAAATCTGCGGATTACTTTCGAGATACCATCTCCAATCTCTCTATCAATGGTATTTCAAAGAGGACCGACCGTACATTGTTAAATCACATCTATTTCGAAATAAAGCAGGTGTAACCAGTTAACATGTCTGCTTGATAACTATGAAACAACACCAGAAACTGCAAGGGATTATCTCGTACTGAGGCGCTAAATAAACACTATAAGTTGCAAAAGTAGTTTAATAAACATAAGTTTTACAGAGATAATTAAATCATTGAAGTACTCACTGCCCCAACATGAGTGTTGAATTTAAAATTTTCAGTCGTTGGGCAGTATGCCTTAATATTGAGTGGAATGAAACCTGAATCTCACTTACGTACAACGAATTTGTTTATTATTTGGGAAGCCAATTTATTTTAGTTTCTTCCGTTTTTGTTGGCTTCCTATCTACGTGACAGTTGTTTTATAAAACAACTAATATGGTTCACAAATTGTTATCCAAAAGCGGATAAATTGCAGAGCTAACTAGTCTCAAGTACTTCTATATTTCCAGTGTAGAACGTGTGTCCATTCATCAAATCTTTAATGTTTGTATTAGAAAGTTAATCTAGTGAAGCTTATAGATCTCAAGTTTATTCACTCAAGATGAAGAACTAACTTATTGTCAAAATATGTATTTGTCTGATCATTTTTTAAACATAAATATTTCGACTGAACTTCTATATCAAATTTTGATAATAAATGTCATCTCCGTAGTACGTCATTAAATTGACTCATGCAAAGTATCTCAGTTGCCTACATGGTAGCATGTTCGTTTTCACTGTTTTCTATTTTTCTCACCAACAGGATGTTGTACTTGTGAATCAGGATAATCCTGAGGTCATTTGTTTGGAGTGTATAGGTCATGTAGAACAAACTATGGCAGCCGTTCCTGACTTGGAAACTTATGTACATTTGGGCAAATAAATTGTTAATCTACGTTAAAACTGTACATATAAGCATTCAATTAAGTGTACAAATAAATGTCTGCTGTTTATCATCTAGTATTTTTTAAAATTAATTTCTTAAATGCCTCATTCAGTATATCATTGATTTACCTTATAATTAGTACGAAAAGTTTCAGGTGAATTAATCTTCGCTCGCTTCTTTTTCTGAAGTTTTGATTATGCGTAATGATCAACACTTATAAAGGTTGATGCTTCATATCAGGTTGGAAAATCGACCCTCAATTTGTAAAAGATGAACAAACCAAACGAGACTTTTAATTTCAAAGCTCGTGTCGTTAGGCTTCTGCAGGGGATTCAAATGCTGGTTTCTTATGGTCTCGGATTTGATCACTTTTTCTCTAACGAGTCTACTAGAGCAGTTTCCTTGTGCTACTGACCAACACTGACATATATTGTCGGAGAGTTATGAGGATCCACTGATCCAGCTAAGCCCTCATGGAAAAAATTCAACTGACACGTGCATGGTCAATCCTGAAGTCTACTATGTCGTCCTTAAGTTTGTTGTTAAGGTGCTACAAATATACCTCGAGTGATTATAAAGTCTAGAATCTTACGAAATGTTATGTTCAAACATATCCCTCTGGTGTCGTGAGTGTTCCAAACTACTAAGATTATACATCGAGGTTTCAAAATGTATTGTTAATATTCAAGTGAGTGACCGGATTACTGACCCAAATGAACTGATATTATAGACAAGGCAATAAAGTCATAATAACAGATCTTTTGTTAAATAATACATTCTTCCATACGGATGATTACGAGAAAAATAAACGATCAAAGCAAATCAGTTTTGCGGGACACTAATTAATACTTGACCGTTAAACTTAATTCTTCGTTATATCAGTTAAGGAATTTAGAAATACTATAGACTGCTAAATTCAGTTTTAACATAGAAGTGTCAGTAGGTAACTAGATTGTTGCAAAACCAAAGGAAGTTTCGAGTCAAATGTTCTCTGAACTATAAGTGATTTGTAATTGAATATGTAGCATATCTACCGTTAGTAACCTCAAATAATCTTAATTTCAAACTTATTAGTCATTTAAAAATAATTGGCTGCTAACGTAAAGTAGATTGTTTAGCGTACAAATGAAAAGCATCGCGATAACGTGTGCTGCAGTTTTTCCTAGTAATATTATTACATCCAGTGTTTGTATTTCAGCCTTTTTGTCACTTAAATTCGAAGACATGAAATTCTAAAGATGAGCTTTCCAAATAAGTGGTCAAACCGTAGGGCCCACCAACTGCTATTTTGGACAAAATTAATAAAGGCATTACTACAATGACCCTAGCAGCAGAACCCCATGGTTACTTTACATTTCATTTGTCAAACCGTCAATTTATAGTTAAACGTCACTGTTTATTAACGGCGTCATATTGTAGTATTCCGTCTTCTGATCATTTTTGTGAAACTAATAACTGAAATGGTTCCTTTCGACTAATACGAACTTTCAACAAAGTTCTCAATATGAGCTGTGCGTTGATCAGATTCTTTACTAACACCCAAGGACTATTCATCTTATTTGAGATTATTGATTAGTAATTTAAAGTGGTGTAGTGTAAATGTGTACCAGTTCACACAACTGTGCGAAGTTTTTCAATGCTGTGCAAGGCTACCAGTTTGCCACTTATGATGGACGGAGGCTATCGTCCAGTAAAACGTGAAAAAAAAACCTGTCTTGTGCTTTCGCTGGGTTTTATTTATGTTTTTAAATGACACTCACCAAATACAGAATTATGTATAGGACTTTTGGTTACACCGAATGGCTCTCCAAAACGATGTAAACAGATGATTGTTTGATTCTGCACTCAAGCCATATTAAGTTTCCAATCATATAATTTAACTGACTAGACAATAATTCGCGATAAGACAAACCCTTCGTAAATATTTAAGTACGTTTGAAAGATCAGACAGAAGGATGAATCATGTTCAGTTTGTTGTTCATGAAATCTTGCTGGTGGTTAAGCTCGAAACTTTGTTTCGTGTCACACAAAACATCTGTTTAGCATAAAACGTTTATTCAGTTATGTTCATTTCTTAATTATTTTGTTTGTGTAACCAAGAATTATGATTAACTTAAAAAGACTGCCTTTATAATTGTTCATTCTATTTCATAACTGACTGACATAGAATAAGTGAAATCAATTGGAATAATTTGTATTGAGTAGCTTTTTGCTTGGGTTAGAACGGTATGATTTCTCGTTTAGAGAGCTTGACAGTTAGATTTTCAACTATTTGTAACAATACATTTGCCAGTTGACGGTGTATCAAAATTTACAATAAACACTCTGTTAAGACTTATTCCCGTTTAAAAGAATTCTTTGTAGAGAAAGTAGACACAATTATCATACGTCGATGTCAGATAATTAGTTTAATTATATAAGTAATTTTAAAAGTGATAGATTTTATTGAGAATGGAAACCAATGTATAACAGCCAGCTGAAAACCCTAAAATATTTACAAAAGGTTAATTTTATTATTTAGAAGAACAATAAACTTATAGTGATATTTTGTCCAGTACAATGGTAAGAAAATACAAAAGACCAGTTTTTTTACTATCTTTAAAGGTCTGCCAACAAGAATTGGGATTCTTTAGGTCCGTCTTCCTTATCTGAAAATCACAATTTGTAATTTAAGTAAAACACACAAATAAAGTATATCAATAACTGTAACCAGATAAATCACCTAATGAAACTACTTAGATAGTGAAGTATTGGGTGAATTTTCGAGAGTAGAATAAGGATTATACCAAGAACTGAATTAAAAGTTGATAAAAACTGCTAATAAGTGCGAAGTGTCAGTTTTCAATTTCCAAAAGTTATAATGGTTTAGTAGTGGTTTAAAAATTATTCTACTAGGTATAGAAACATGGTTTTGTCACAGTTAGATATTATTTGTATAATCGCATACTGGATAACCAGATAGACACTAGGAGAAAGCCTCAATGCTACTCCTCGTTTGAAAAGCAGCCGAAAACTTCAAGGCTAAACAGACAATTAGGTAAACCACCTTCAAATGTTCATTGTTTTTCTGCTAAAGTAACTTGAGTATGAGCTAAGTGTGCAGCTTGAAATTATACCGATTTCTAACCAAGCAGATAATGATTATGAACTAATAAGAAAATCAGCACCATGCTCCCTTGATTTAAATTATGGAAGGTTACATATTAATTAATCGTCATATAAACCTTTGTAATCCCATCATATATAATGGTGCAAAAACAACACAACAGAAGGGTATGTGACTACTCGTTTGGAGGGATGAGAGAAGCCCGAAATATGGAGCTTGGGCGTTTTTAGTTGATGACCGCTTTTTAACGATAAACGCCATGATATCTCAGAACACTTTTTTCTCATGAAATTAACAGCATTGCGAGGGGAGTAAGTAATATCAATTTGACTGTTATTGATTCTGTAATAAGATTTAACAGTTGAGTTTTTTTATTTGTTTTAAAAGAATTTGTGACTACAACATCTATTCTGTAAAAAACGGAAAAGAAGTATCTTAACTTGCATATCATAGAAATAACAATAGATAGTGAACTAGATTAGAATGTTTGTATGTGCTTGGTCAGGGAATACAACCACTGAGCAGTAAGAAAATTAAAAACTATTATTGTAGATTCTTAAATTTTAGTGAATTATTTATTAAGGATTCAAACATGCTTCACATTTATCCATACTCAGAAAAACAGCTGTTGAGTTCTTATACTTCCACAAGAGGAAAACTCAGGAAAGAACCAAGAGCAGCTTTGAAAAGGTTGACGGAAGCCTTTTATTGACTGTACAATGTCCTGATATTTGTAGGGACATCCCAGTAGACTGTAATCCAATAAATACTTAGTTATCGATGAAATACATACGCAGAGGTAAACATAGTACGAAAATATTCATCTAACATAGAATACATGTCGTAAACGGAAGAAAAATGACTACTAGAATAGGTATTCAGATAAAGAAAGACTGGTTTGACATAGCAACATAACTGCACTTCATTACAAAACAACGGTTAGGAACTTTAACGGCGTAACCACAGCAATGATTTAGTGGTTCAATGATACGAATTGAAATCGGATAATATTATGGCATTTTTTAATATACTAATATATCAGATATTTGGTGAGAATAAGATATCTTCAGGTTCCAAAGTAATCAGTTATGATGAATTTCTTGACTTGCAACGAAGTCTTCCCACCTTGACATACGATGATGGCTGGTGTGGTAGAAGGTTATAAGAATATTATGAGACCAAACCAAGGCGTGGAATTAGTCGATGAAGACACTGACTGTTGGACAGGAGCGTACAGGTAGCTGCAGACTTCCTGGGTGGGATCTATAAAAGCATTATAACCAGTTGCTAGAGACCATGAGTAACATTGATTAGGATCTCTGACAATGACACAGGCCCAAACACTTTGTTTTACCTTGGGTCCTAGGTTTTTTCTATTCCACCGATCCATATTTTCTTTTCAGATCACATTTTATCCTTAACATTTCTATCACTACTAATACTACTACCATCTCGTAGTGCTAATGGGGTGTGGCAACTTGAAAAGATGCATATATATGCCAGGTCCAAAGTTGCGTATAACTTATAAATGACTGACTGTCCATTTGTGATGGTGGAACAAATGAGTAACAAAATATCACAGTACAACCTACATATAACATCATTGGGATGTTTATGGCCATTATTAGATCGATTCCTCACTTCGATTAGAAATTATCTTGAGTTTGGAATATGAGGGACATTTGACCGAAAAGATTAGGGATTTGAAAACAATAACGATTCATCTCTAATTTCTACCAGTAGAATTCGATATATGGTCCATTGAATTTGTATTTTAATGATTACATCACAGGTCAGTCAGTCAGCTACAACGCAGAACCCGGCACATATATGCATCGGTTCAAGCTGCCATACCTTATTAGCACTACAAGATGAACACCGAAACATAGAAGCAGTTAATTCAATGATGGTAATATATAAAAGAAAGATCACGCGTTCTGTTCTCCGTTTTGTCTCCTCTTATTTAGGTATCTGGGTGACGTCATTGGTCCGTATATATTACAACATAGCTCGAAGATGAGTACACAACCGGTACTTGATAAATTACCCTTATGTGATAGTCAAACTTGGACATCGCATTAATCCAATCGAGCAATATTGGTCGGAACATTTGCTCCTCTATGTCCTATCATTCCAAGAAGATCAATTGGATAATGGTAAGACTAAAAGCAGCGAATTAAGCTCCGAGGGCGAAGTCATACTGCTGATTGCACAGGGATGTGACAGTAGTAAATTACTTCCCTCAAGTAACCGGCAAGCACGGTGATGGTACCTTATCACGACGAAAAGGGGTCAGAAAAGGTCGATCCTCAGTATCACACCTTAATTTACCCAATAGATTTCCATCTTTAGCAACAAGACCCTTTCAAGAACTGAGCTAGCATGGAAACACAAAAATGCTACGCGATTGACCTCAAGCAGTTGTCCCTTGTGATCTACAGTCACGCTCTTAGGTCGATAAGACTCCCACTAATCCAGTTACTTCGGTAAGAATTATTTTTTCACGATATGGGGAATCGGGAAATGAAAACCATCATCCTACTCTTGACAGAACAAGAGATCAACTCAATTATGATCGAACCCCTCCATATCTTATGTTTAGGTCTGACCTTTTAAACTATAAAAAACGCGACGGAAAATAATAAGCTAGACCGGAATATTTGGATAGGAACAGATAACTAAATGATGAGCTCCTGTTTTTGTGTACTAAGAACATACAATTCCAATTCAATAATGTCTTTTACCGCCAAATTGATGGAGTAGCTATAGGTAGCCCTTTGGGCCCAATTCTGGCCGATATATTTATGGGAAACCTGGAACAAAAAAATGCTTAAGCACGCAATCGATGGTACTACACTCTACTGTAGATATATTGATGATACATTTCTCGTTTGCAAAAATCACAAGCACGCCATTAGACTACTCGACCTGTTTAGTAAAGCACACAAGGATATAGAATTTACTATGGAACAGGAAGTTGAAGGCAAATTCCATTTCTTAGATATTCGAACCAGACGAATATCTGATGGCACATTACATAGACACATTCATCACAAAAATACTTGGAGTGGATTATATTTCAATTACTATAGTTTCAGTCCAATGAGTTACAAAAACAGTATTGTACGAACACTTTGACCGCGCACGTAAATTTTTTTCAAAGGAATGCCTGGATGACGAGATTGCTCTCAACACTAATTGTCTATGTGAAAATGCATATTCGATGAAATTCATCCATAAACATGCAAAAACCACTCCTCGGGCAAAGTATGATAGAGGAGAAAAGACTTGCTTCTTATATTTACGTTTTAAAGGAGACGAAATTACTGAATTAATTAATCACAGATTAAATTCCGCGTTGAAAGTAGCCTACTCAGCAGAAAAACTGACGAAAGTATGGGAAACGAACTGCTGACTCAAACAAACTAAAATCGACAAGTCCTCTTTTCTCAGTAACTCCAACTGCATTTACCAATTCACATGTACGTGCCACAGCACATACATTGGAAGAACTGAGAGAAGAGTGCATGTTCGCATTTCTGAGCATGTTCCGAAGAACTTGAGGCTGCGAGGGACCAAGGCTCTCAACAGTGCAATAACCCGGCATTTACTTGACACCGGGCATAGTATCGACATCCCACATGCTTTCAAAATTACCAACAGACAAAAAAGTGTGACTGCTCTCCGTTTCGCTGAAGCAATTGCGATAAAAAAAACTTGAACCGGATTTATGTATTCTAAAAGAGACGTTAATAAACTTATTATTACCCTGGCAATCCAATTTTGGTTATTTTATTCATTTATTTATTTTAAAATATTTATTTTGTGTTATATTCCTCCCTCATTACTTAATTCTAAAACCAACTTTTCATTCACACATTTCCGCCAACTGATCCTCTTAAATTATGTTAACTTTTCAAATCCTCTTTAATTATTAAGTAACCTATCTTATCACTGTTTTAATTCCATGAATCCTTCATTATCTCTAAAATTACCACACAATTTATGAACTCCACTGAACTATTACACCACCCATCCTGAATTATTTCCTTATTTCTAACACCAATTAGCCTCTGACCTGTTCTTGCATGTCAATTGTTTCACACTATTTCTTATCTCAATGTACAATTCTATTACATATTTGGTTGTAAGCAGCTGACGAGAAACCTCGGAATATTATGAATACATACTATTCTGCATAAATATTTGTTCTGGCTTTATTTGAGTTGGAATAAGTCAGCACGTTCAATAAACTAGTTCGAGTGATGAACTACACTTAAGCGTCTGACAAACATGGGAGTGTATTAGGTAGGCTTCAAAAAGTATTCAGAATACTTTACAGCTGTTTAACTGGCTGAATGACAGTTCCAAGTAAAAACCGATAATGAACCAGTTTTAATCAAAAATCAGTAGCAGGGTTCGAAGGGAAATGATACTAGCTTAGTGTCTAAGTTGACACGGAAAAAAGTGTTTGAACCTGTCACTTGATAATTCGATATCAGATATTTAAGCTAATAAGCCACAGATTGACAAAAATCGTATTATCCAAGCACACAATAGTGTACTAGATGCATAGAGAAACGTTACATGGACTGTGAATGTTAGGAATGATCAGTGAGTTGAAACCACTGATTTATGTGATGTGGACCAAATATCCGGTCTTCTATACTACACACTACCATTAAATATTAAGGGAAATCTAAATATAGAGGTGAAAACAGCAACTTACTAAATGAGCAATATGAAACATTGTAAGGAAGGTCCCAAGGTAATATAGACAACCAGCATTTGCGTTAATTCCAACAGTGAGGAGACACGCTGTCATTCCCATGTGAAAAGCGCCCAAATATAATTTCGTTTTTTCTCCAAACAAAATTGCAGTTGATTTTACACCTATACGGATGTCATCGTCGATATCCTAAAATAGAAACCCTCGTTATAGATTTAACATAAAATAGCAAACTTTAAAGCAAGCTATGAGCACAAACCTGATGTGCATAGATTGTGTCGTATATAATTGTCCAATTGAAGCCACCAAAATAGAGAGGAATTGAAATCAGAGGGTCAACAGAACCTGTGACAGCAGAATAACCCAGCAAAGCACCCCAGTTGAATGTAAGACCTATACAGAACAAACAAACCTAATCTTTAAATTTCAGATAAAAAACAAAAAGGTGCTGCTGGTTTACTGGGCGACAAGTCAAAACACAAAACTAAGTATGCAGAATCGAAAAACTATGAATCGACATATGAATATTCTTAAAATGCAGAAACTATTAGCGCGAAAAAGATTGAAGACAAATGCAAAACATCCTCACTTGATGAGAATATATGGTATCGTACGTGCATGTCCAACACACTGCAGCTAAATACAAAGGAGTGCACACGGAGAAAAGGCAAAAACCATTTATAGCAGAATACCCAAGCCAAACACCCCAGTTCAATGTTAAGCCTGTAACACCACATTGCAATAAACCAAGGTTAGAAAATTCTACACTGATTCTTACCAAGTACAAGCTGCGGCCAGTAAGTAATACGTTTAAACAGAGGATACGTGATGACAGGAACCAATGACAGGATACCAAGAAATACACTTCAGGAAATAACTAAAAAGCAATTCAAACCAACCTGTACCAGTTCAATTGCAATAATATTACAAGCGAAGTCGTTAGCTGAGCACCAAGAAACAATAAAGCCTGGGGAAAGGTTAGTGAACCCGAAGCTAGTGGACGATCCTTTGTGCGTTTGACAAGCATGTCGTATTTTTTATCCCACATATCATTTATTGTACAACCGGCACTTCGCATCAAAATGGAGCCAACGCCAAATAGGGTTAGCATATAAATGTCAGGTAAGTGACCCGGTGGTGCAGCTAGAGCGATGCTCCACGTGCAAGGAAGGTATAACAGCCACGTGCCTGTTGGTCTAGCGAATCGTCCAAGTTCAAAATATGACTTCAGTAACTGTGAGGATTTGCTTGGTTGAATTTTAGGTGTATTAACATAACAAGATGTGTAGAGAAGACGAGTACATTTATCAGATCCAAATCGCGAGAAACTACGTAACATCTTGTCTGATTTATCAATGAAGTTTATTTAAATGCTTTAATGTAGTCTGTAGAGCCATGCTGCATTGAACCGGGAACTGAGCCCCTAAATGGATAAGCCAGAATTGTTCAAGCAGTTGAAGAATGAGACTATTACTGGGAATGGAATTTGCAATATAGAATAATAGACTGTAACCTACAAAGAATAGGAAAAAAAGTAGAGGATCGCACAAAAGTTCAAATCGACTAGTTACAAACCGCATGATAAGCACATTTAAGTGGTTACTTTTTTGGCATAGTAAACCAAAATTATCCGCCCGAGCTAAAAATCTCCATTTTGAAATTATGTTGTTTGTAGTACAAAGCTGTCGGTGTAGCGAGGACCCCCCAAATGCCCTGGTACGGCCGAGAGTGGGGAGAGTCCGCTCACCCTCTCGAAATACTCTCACACGGCCACGCGTATACAGTCTCTGCCAGGGAAGTCCTACTCATTGCCTTCTCGTGGCGGGGGTGCTGTTTACGAAAATGAGAGGACGAAAAGCGAATGTCCGGCGCTTTAACCGGATCACAAACCAATGGTGCACATGGGCTCCAGTATCCTGCGGGAACAAATGGCGTATGAACCAATCGTTGGTCACCGGCTACCATGGGATTGCATCTCCTTACGATGCTCTACTGCCTTGTGGATCAGACCTTTAGGTCGAAGGCTCGGGGAGTGGCCCCCTAAGAAAACCACCTGCTTCGGTTTGGGCACCCGGGCAGTATCACAGCCTTCATACATATCGAATGAGATCTGTGTGGCACATACGTAGTTGATGCCTCATTGTACCATTATCTATGTGTTAAAATAAAACAAAAGAAGAATGGACCACAAAATAGATTATTACTAATAAATAAAGATGGATAGGTTGAGCAATCAACTGTGCCGAATTTCTTCAGCTGTCTTGTTATGCACTACTTTTTGAACTTCATTCCAACACGACGCAAAAACTAGTCTTAGGCATTAGTTCTAGTTAGCATTAAGACTGATAAAGTCGTACGAGAACCTGTAATCTAACAGTATGTAGATGTCGAAATTATCATGAGCGGTGATTTTAGTGGCAGGCATTTTGGAACATGAAGTCTTGAGTGTCGTGAATTATGAGCAGATACTAAGTACCGAGAAAGGACGAACTGAAAGTTAGAAACATTCTTCTGGTATTGAGGAAAACCCCAAATTTCCCTAGCTATGGAGATTTCCCAGAAATACCTTTAGACTTGAGAGAAAACCCCAGGGTAAGGAAAATTTCGAGCTTTCTGTCGCATTTTCCGAATTTTCTAATGTTGCTTGCCCAAAGTATCCTCAGAATCAGGAGACCAGGCACTGTTATTCGACTGTAAAAGGTATGGAACCACTTCTAAATGTATTAAAATGGGTTCAAGGTTTACAATCAACACTTACACGATAAATATGCCAGAGTTTGAACGACCATCTGTACTGTGAATGATATCACTTAGGGATGATATCATTGAGAAGTTAATAACTATGGTTATTATTGAGCAACCAATGGTTAACTTAAGTCTGCGTCTTACTGTAGTTTTGTGGGCACGTATACTGGCGTCCGCAATCATCTATATATATGCATTTATTTATATAAAACAACCTTACCCAAGCTCCCGATTTTGGGGAAAATTTAGCACACTTTGGAGAAGCCACTATAGTAAATTTCGGGAAAGCGGGACAACAGCCGCCATATTTCCCCGAAATTCGGGAGTTTCTCCAAAATACCCCAAAAGTTCCCCAAAATTGGAAGCTCGGGTAAGGCTGTTTTACATACGACACTTGTCGCACGTATTCCTGTTTGATAAACCATTCACCAATTTATTTGACTTAAAGATTATCGGTTTGTTTGATGCGTACAATTAGTAATAATGGAGTAAACTAGTTACTATAATAATGTGACCAACCACGTACGGGGGCACGTTAGAGCCGTTCGAATCTTTCCGCCCTTTGTTTCAACGACCTTGAACGGCCTAACCAGAGGCGGACATTCTGTATTTCAATTGCCGTGGGTTGGTTAGATTGCATGAGTATCAAGTTTTTTCATATATAAATCATATTATGCTGCATCAAAAGCACGAAATAACTACCAAAAGCATTTATTTAGTATTCTCTGTTTTGTAGTGTACTCGTTGGCTCTGTTGTTGCTTCGCAATTTGATCTGTGATCCCATCTGCTGTAGTAAACCTCAACGAAATGTTAAGTCACTGGTAAAACCTAAGTATTTCTAGTATTTCCTTGGGTTATTACTGTTGCAAGGAATAACATTTTTATAGTTAATGATCTCTGTTTGTGGTGCTCCATGCTCTAAAGACATTTCAATGGACCTTAGCGATGCCTTCAAAGTATGATTGCGAACAAGCGTTTCGCGTGCTGGGATGACTTTGATAGCGCACTAAGAGTTCCAAAAAGTATGGAAGAGTAATTTTGTTGCTTCTCAGATTACTTATACATCTACACAGAAAGCAAGTTGCTGAAGGATGTTAGGTTCAAATACCTGTTTGTAACGTTTCACTGTACAATTTGGTCATCAGCGGAAATCGGAAGGTTTGAAATTGAAGCAAAATCGTGAGATCTTTAACTAATATCTGATGTTGAAGGTCTAAATTCTGTAATTGCCAACCTAAGTTCCATGTAAGACTAGAGGAGCAAGGATATGTCATCAAATTCTACAACATGCTTCACAATCATCCATGTAGTAGTTCATGGATGGTTTGTGATTCATGGGCAAGAGATTGTCATCCGAAGAAAAAGAAAACATGAAGCCAGTGATATTGCGCTGTTAGTCAGCAGATGAAGTTATAGAAAGTATTACGGAAAGAACTGGTAAGCAGGTTACCGCTGTCGATGTCAAAGCTATGAAAGGTGAATTTTCCACTGGTAAGTGTATAGAAATATATTTCAGGTTGTACTCGAAAGCAGGTAATGCACATGCTGCGACATAACGGTGAAGTTAGGGAGCATGTAGAAAATGGATGTATCACGAGAATATGCTTCAGAAGTTATGGCCAGATACGGTTGTACAATAAATATCCGGAAGTTCTGTGTATTGATTCTCCGCATAATACTAATAATAGAAGTGGTTATGTTTTTCCTTGTATTCCACTTTATAGATATTGATTATTCCAGTTGGTTTTAACAGATAATTTTGGTCGAGGACGTACTCTAATGTTTGCGTGAACGCAAAAAGAAATGCATGCAGATGTTACCTGGATTCTTGATAAATGCGAAGAAATCATGATGAAGATGGCACAGGTATTCAGTGTTTGATAGCGCTTTTAACAGTAACACCTAATATAACTCGTACCCAACAAGAGAAACCAAAAGACAGAATCGAGGAGATCAGAAGTCGTATTTGACGATTGCCAATATATCGGAATTGTCTGATCTAGTCTGGCTAGTGATTGCAGTAGATGTTGAGCATGGCGTTCCTACACGTGATCTGGTGAGGATGCATGACTGAGCGCCTTTAGCTAGGTGAGTCCACTAAAACATGTGGTCAGCATCCAATGTCGAAAACTTACATAGCTATTTATTTTGGGGATTTATTTACCGCTACAATGGGAAACACAACAGGGACAGAAAAATTTGTTATGGACTGCGCACGATCAGAAAGCGCGGCTGTCCGTACCACATACGGGCGTGCAAACTTTATTCTGTGCGCTTTTCACGTAATTCGCGCTTTCCGTAAAAAGGTACACCACTGGTTGCTTACATAAAATTCCCCCTAGACACATGATAAGATACCGAGAACGCACTCTTCTGTTTCTAACCCTTCTGGTATTCGCCTAGACATTTGGTATTAACAAAAAATTTGGTAAGCACAATTTAGATATTACTCGACAATATGTATTATAACTTTATTCATACTTTGGTCAGTGATTGAGGATTCTGTTTACAGAAACTTATTCGAAAACCCTATAAGAGACACATCATCAATCAGTATTAACTATGACATGGTTTTTTCACCACGCTCAAAAGAAACACGCATAGTTTTACTTATTAAGACTTTGTAACCACTTAATGTAGCACTTCCAGTGGTGTTATATACTGTTCCTGTATACGTTCAGAAAGTGGATGGAAAAGACTATCAACGTCAATTGTTACTCACATAATTCTTCTCAGATACGTTAAATAATAATAAGTCACTTCAGTACAAACGATGATACTTATAATGGATATAACTGTTTATGGTTAAATATTAAGAGGTTACATAACATTGATAAATAGATTAACGTATAATTGCTTCTACCTACATTTTATAAACAACTAAAAGCATCCATGTTTATCATCACCATAATCAAAGAGGTGAATAATATGTAATACGTTTTAAAGCTCACTTTCCTGATAACTCAATCTGTGATCTATTTTTTGACTTAGAAGATTGTAAATTTTACCTGCTTGAGTTTGTATTGTTACAAATAACCATATTAAACTTACTAAAGATTCACTTAGGTCGTGAGCGAGAATTAAGTCAATCTGCTGATAAATAGGAGCAACAATTTTTATTGGTACATGGAACGTCCGGACAATGTAGGAGATCGGGAGGACCAGTCAAATGGCAACGGAAATGAGGAGATACAACTTGTCGGTCCTTGGAATTAGCGAAACTCATTGAACCCAAGCTGGATAGCAAAGGTTAGATTCGGGAGAGATGCTGCTATACTGTAGTCACGAAGAAGTAAATGCTTCACACACTCAGGCAGTTACTCTGATGCTGTCCAAAGAAGCACGCGATGCACTTACAGGATGAGAATCTGATGGACCCAGGATCGTCAAAGCATCTTTCAAAACGAAGGAGGGGATCAATTATTGTTGTCCAATGTTAGAACCCGCCAATGATAGCAACGACGACGATAAAAATCAGTTTTGTGAGAGGCTGCAATCGATCATAGTGAAGTGCTCAGGAAACGAATTAACCATTCTGATAGGAAGCCTAAAGGCCAAAGTTGGAATGAACAATGCAGGCTGTGAAGATATCATAAAATGTCATGAACTGACTAGGAGAAGGAACGAGAATAGTGACAGATTTGCAAATTTTTGTTAATTCAACAAAATTGTTATAGGCGTCACAATATTCTCACAAATACATACATAAAGCTAAATTAGTCTCACCAGATCACACTACACAACCAGATCTATCATATTTGTATCATGAAAAATCTCAGAAGATCAATAGAAAAATCAGGAGAGGAGCTGACAGCTCCAGATCACCACCTGATGGTTGTCAAGATGAAACTGAAGCTAAAGAAACACTGGAACACTGAAGAAACAGCCTTACAAGGACTTAATACATAATTCATTCGAGATACTGACAAACTCAACGAATTCAAGATAGTTCTGAACAACAGGTTTCAAAACTTACAAGATCTACTCAGAGAAGAGGAAACTACTACAGAGGAAAATTGGAAACGGATTGAATAAGCACCAAATTCAACGTGCCAGGAGGTTCTTGGCTAGATCTCCATCGAAACTCCGGACAAGATTCAAGAAAGGAAGAACAAGAACAGAGAAAGTCAAGGCAAAAGCTGAATACACAGAAGCACACAAGCAAGTGAAGAAGAGCATTGGAGCTGACAAGCAGAAATATGTGGAAGACCTAGCAACGACGGCGAAAAAAGCTGCAAGGGAAGGAAATATGAAACAGCTTTACGATACAACGAAGAAACTAGCAGGGAAATACAGTAAACCAGAGAGACCGGTCAAGGACAAAGAAGGCAGGCTAATCACTGAAATTCAACAACAGCGGAACAGATGGGTAAAGCACCTCAAGGAACTCCTGAATGGGCCAGCTCCAATGAATCCACAGGACATCGAAGCAGCGCACACAAATCTTCCTATAGATGTCAATCCACCAACGACGGAAGAAATCAGAATGGCCATCAGACAAATCAAGAGCGGGAAAGCAACAGGACCCGACAATATACCAGCTGAAGCACTGAAATCAGACATCGAAGTAACTACAAACATGCTTCAGTTTCTAGTCAAGAAGATTTGGGAGGAGGAACAAGTGCCGATGGACTGAAAAGAAGGATACATCATCAAAATACCAAACTACAAAGTCATCACACTACTATTGGTACCAGGAAAAGTTTTCGACAGTGTTGCTGAACCAGATGGAAGATTCAGTAGACGCCCAACTCCGAGATCAACAGACTAGATTCCATAAGGACTGATTTTGCACAGATCAAATCGCGACTCTACAGATCATTGTTAAGTAATCAGTTGAAAAAAGCTGATCATTATACATCAAAGGCTGTTAATAGGTGATAAATAACGGTACAAAAATCCTCGATAATATGTTACATGTGCGCGAAAACCCATGGCGTAACAACCTGACTGTGCCGGTATGAGTATCTAAACATTTCCAAATTCCCTCTGACACGACTCCATTTCTAAACCATCGTTGATCATTTACCATGTCCGATAATGATTGACTACTGGTCACTGGAAACAAAGATTCAAGTGATATAAGCAGAATTTAAAAAATGGGTTTACAGAAGCTCCATTCTTTTTTATCTAAAAATAACTGTGAGTCCCATTTTTTTTCTGAACTGTTGTGGAGAGTCCTTGATTACGGATTCGTGTACAGCGACAAACCATCCTTGAAAATAAACAGTTCCGCGATTCTTTGACATTGCTACTGGCCACGTCAGTCGTACTAGATACATCCTAGTTAAAGGCTCTGTAGGCATCAGATCACTATTGAGTTCACCGTGCACGTAACCTTAGCGAAAGCTAGCCAGTTTAGATCATATACTTCTGAAAAAGAAAGACTATCTCTGAACCCTTTTTATTCTCTACATGTTGGTTGACTGGTTTTTGGAGCTGAGACTAAATTTTTTACGGACATTAGCATTGTCCAACACTGAATATCCGTGATTTCGTGTATAATTCACATATTGAGCTCTGAGGTTTGAAAAAAAC